ATCTTTTCTGTTATGCTCTCGACTCGTATCAACTTGATTTTCTCTCTACAAAAAATCCGTTTAGAGAGGATATATTATTTCGCTATAAACCCTCAAACTTTTAACTAATTTTGAAATGCTTTCACATACTTTTTCAAGCGCTAGATAACAAAAATGCCACGTCAGCTAATAATAAGGTAATAATCACAGATTTGTACAGAAACAAATAGAAATTATATAGAAAATCTAAATTTTTGTGCAATCTTAACAAACAAGAGGATGTGATAAACTTTATTTTAAATTTTGAATAACAGTTATAAGTCTGCTATTTTTTAGATTGTATGTTCGATTTATTTTCTTGCATTTGTTTTTGGCACAAATTTAAAAATTAATGTCTTAATCTTTGAAAAATATATAGTTTTAACAAAAAAATAAAAAATCTTTGAAAAAATAGATAATCACATGTACTAAATTGTACATCTCTTACAAGATATCCTCCAAGTCCATAGGTAATATGCTTTTCCTTTGTGGGAGATTCTATGAGTTTTTTTTTTCGTTATATGTATAACTTATCTCTAAATAACACTTATAAAAGTTGGAATTTTTTTATAGATAAATTGTAAAAGATAGACTTTCGTTTCTAACCAATCTATCCTAACCAAACCGATCCAAAAAAAAATGAATTATGCGAATCAATACGAGACCAATTTTTAATGAGATTTTTTTCTTTATTTATATGAAAATATTTTTAAAAACTATGCATACTCCATTCGTATAAAATTAGAGGCTTTTTAAACAAAAACAAAAAAAATGAAATTAGAGTTAGAGAGTAGAGAAAATAAGATGATAATCAACTAATATAGCCCAACACCTAAAAGCCCAACATGCGAGTGAGTAAGCTACTAAGCCTGGCCCTAACTTCAATCCACATATGGTACCATTGATTTTCTGTTGCATATTGTACCAATTATATAGTAAGTTGAATAAATAGTGATGCAAATATATCTGATCCGATAAAACAAAAAAAAAAACTAAGATATGTATATAATTATTTATGTCAAAGAAAAACGATCCGAAAAATATTGTTAGATCAATTATAAGTACCACTTAATAAAAGTATAAATCATTGATAGACGATTTTATACATGCCATTTATCCATTAGGATCATCTGGACCCAAATTTATAATACTACAAACATTATAAAATATTTTAATAACTTCTAGAGTATATATGACGTTTATACCGGGCATAAATTTCGTGGACCAAAAAAACTACACACGTTATAAATATACGTAAATATATATAGTGTAATATCATGACGCAAGAGATTTATTTATGTTACATTGTATAGTAGTATATTTTCGCGTTAGAAGCTGCAAGTCACACAACAGTCAATACCAAAGCCAACAATACTTTTTTTATTTTTCGTTTTTCTTTTCAAGATAGCTATTACAAGACACATACATTATATAGAGCTAAGTTTCCTTTCCCTACTTCGTTACCCATACAATGTTATCGAGAGGGAAGAAGTGGCAAACGGGTGCGGACCTCGGCTCCATCTTCAATACCTTAAAAGCTACATGATCAATGTTCCACATAGACGTGTCCATGTGGCAGACAGCGGGTCCAACGACCTGCTGTCTCCCATCATCTGTAATCATATTAACTTCAAAGACTCTACTTCCACCTCTATGGCCATGGCAATAGTAAACGGTGTAAGGGTATGGCATTCTATGACATCCCAACATCTTAATCCCAACAAGCTCTTGAGGAGCCTCGACGAACGTATAGTTATGCAAAGCGTAGCTTATCATGTTTGGAGATGGTACCATTACTTTAGTCGTCATGACCTTGAGATCGGCATTAGCCCCTATTGTTTTCTTCGCAAGATCAATCAATGACTCCAAAGAAGTCCCACAAAACTTATGCTCTCCTTCGATTTGTTTAGCATTACAATGTCCCAAAGTTTCTTTTATGGCTTTCCCCTGAGGAGAGTCTTTGGAGATAGAGAAGTGGTCGAGAAGGAAGTCAAGCTTTGACTTAGTGAAAGGAATGAGCTCAGCTTCTTGTCTCGTGAGAAGTGGAGGAAGTCTTTGAAGATCGAGTTTGTCGAAGTAAATGAGCAATTTGGTTCCTAATTTGAGATCACCGAGTTTGAAAAACATGGACATTGAAGGATCATCGAATTCACCATCTTTGATCAAATGACTAGTATCTTCACTTTCTTCTTCCTTGATTGATACCAGCTTTCTTGACGTGTGTGCCTCCACGACCCACTAGATTCAAGAACACAAGAAAAGAAAAAGAAAAAAACAATTTAAAACATTTAGAGACGAATTTTTTTTTATTATAAAATATTTTTTTGAAAAAGTTTTTTTTTTTTTTACAAAATATTATAAAATATTCAAAAAGAAAATTTACAAAAATTCTTAAAAAGTTTCCCAGAAGAGAAAGAAGAACATTTTTCCTTTCTAACAATGTGGCAAGAACCATGATCCAGAAACTTATGCAAATTAAGATACAAAATAAATTGATTACAAACTTTCCATGAATATATATTGGAAGGTTATTATAGTATTAATTAGTAACTTTTTTATCCCATTGAAGAAAGTAAACTTTTGGTAAGAGCATGTATATAAACTTATGTAAATTTACACCACAATTACGAATTATGTTGCAGGATTCTTATAAGTATATATATACTTCTAGTTCTAATCCGGTTCAAGAAGCAGCACATGCAAGAAAGAATAATGATTTCAATCCAAGCTT